TTATTTTCATAGTTGACCATCAACAAAATAATCGCTGAGACCTGAATGTGGCAACATTGATAAAAAAGCAATGAACACAATCAAACAAGTTTTTAACAAACTCCCAGGTTGCCAAACTTATCTGAAAGAGAAGTTACTACTTGAACATCCACCACTGGTTCAGCCACAGTTGGATTTTATATCTTCAAATGAAGTGGTTTAAAAACTGCTTATTTACAATCCATCCCATCATCTGGCTGCTCATGTTTCCTGCCCTGTCTGACTTAATCGCAGCAATGTGCTCCCACATTTGAGCAATTGCTATGGTAAGTATGATGTTACCGCAACAGCTGGTTACAAAACAATGGTGTAAACTTCAAAAATAAGACCTTAGTTATAATAAACAAGAGTTTTCTTCAAGGGATAATTTTGGAGTTTTCTTTCAGGTCTAAAGCTGCTCCAACAAGTAGGATGAGCACTGACAAAAAGAAAAGAAAGATGCAATTCCACTATAGTTATGTTTGGGCGGTATCTCCACAGCTTGCAGAAGTCTAGAGGAGGCAGCTTATATGCATCCTCCAGCAGTGCAGGAGCAGTGGAGCTCCAGCAGGCAGATCTGAGCAGGCGGAAGTGTGCCAGACAAGAGAGGCCAGGCTGGGCTGGACTGGGCTGAGCAGCTGAGGTTCCCCTCCGCCCTGATTAGCAGCGAGGCTAAGCTAATCCTGCGCCTCAGGCCCCTGTGAGGTGGCTCTGCCAAACGCCTGTCCCCCTGCTGCTGCAGGAAATTGCCTTCAGTGCAGAGGTCCATGAAATGGCTATGGCTCACCAGTGAAAGCAAAGCACATCCACTGTGTGTGCACACAGATTCAGTGCGACTTAACAAATCCTAATCTAACAGGTAGCTTTTATATTTTATACCTCATCTAAAACCTCATGATGTGCTATCATAAAAACAGCCATATTGTATAAATTATTTCCTTCAATGTAATTCTGTTTATGGAATAAGTTATGTATTTGTATTTGTATGTATTATTTATGGACCATACAGCGGTCCTTTGACACTAAAAGCCAGTTTTCCTGTGTGGGGTTGTGTGTCAGGCTCTATAACGCCTCCTCCATTGTGCTGTTTGACCCGTGGGCCAGCCAGAGCTCCCATGAGGTCCCTTATCCCTCCATCAGTCCTCTCTCATTAGCCACCACAGGCAGAGCCCAGAGCGGGGTAACACAGCCCCCCCCCCCCCCGCTTCCTCCTCTGGTCCCCATGAAATACATACAGCACAAATACAGATGACAGAGACCACCTTTTAGCAGTTGTGATCCACAAACAACTAGTGCACTTCTTAAAATAACCACCCGCCTGCTTCCTGTAGAAGAAAATGAGCAGATGTATTTCTTGCACTTTCTTTGACATTTTCCGATCCCCGTCAGATTTCCTGATGCTGAATCATCTGTCGTTTATTGTAAGGCAGTGGTCAGGTGTTCATGTTAGTTTTATGTATTTATTAATCTTTTTTTTCTTTAGTTACACAGAAAGGATCAAATTGGAAAAGTGGTTCATCTTTTTTTTGGGGGGGGGGATAAAACAGGGATTAAAAAAAAAAAGCAGAGGTGGCAACATGAGGAGGGAGGAGGAGGAGACTGGGCAGGACACAGTGGAGAAGCAGTTGATTATGAGTCCCATCAAGTGATCAATGATTTCATTAATAAGACGGATCACGCGGCTGTCATAGCTGTGACACGGGCTGAGGGATGATCCGCTCCCAACGCTCCATTTCCCCCAAGCCTCTCTCTCCCTCCCTCCCTCCCTCCCTTCTCCCTCCCTGTCTTTCCAATATTGCCTCCCTCTGCCAACGACAAGGGAACGCCAAGGAAACAAGGGATGGAGCTGGGTGTTGAGGGTGGGGTGGGGGGGTGGATGGGGGGTTAGTCATGAGGGAAGGGAGGGTATGGGGGGTGGGGGTGGAGGTGGAGGGAGGAAGAAAAGTGAAAATCCATTTTGAAACCCATTTTCAATTAGGGGTCCACAAGCTGTTATCACAGGTGTCCCAGAATGGGGGCCCGTAAGTGAAAATGTCTCCTATCCGTTTCTGAAATGAAACCTTATCTGGGAGGCACAAAGATGGCGGGGACAGCGTATCTGTAAATTACTTTCCATCCCCGCTGTTAACGGGGAACTTTATTTCTGTCAGATGACATTCCCCTCTATTTACTGTTGATCATTTAAATGGCTGCCTAAAAAGAAGGTGGCCCCTCACTCTTCCTCTATCTCACCACTCTTCTCTGTATCATTCTTTCTTCTCCTCCAGTCAGAGGATTTTTTTTTTTCTTTTTTCAAAAGCAGTGAAGTGTTCTTTTTCTTCTTTAAACACTTTAGCCACGCTCTCCCTCTTTGCTTAGGGATTTCTCTGGTAACCTACACGAAAGCCTAACATTTGTTGCCCTTTAAAGCTTAACTTGTTTGCCTCAGAGACCCCTTGCTCTTGCCCTTTTAAGCACGACCGTTAAAAAGGTCCCATCTCACCCACTTCATGAGCTGCTTTACATTTACTGCTCTTACGTTAAAGCAGCGAATCTTCTCAACTGTGTCCTCCATTTTTCAGGTCCTATCACTTACACTAACTCCATCTCTTTCCTCAAATCAGTAGCAGCCATATCATAAAAGTGCAGCCAACCAGAAACTTTTCCCCCAAATAATCAACCCTTCAGCCCCCGCCCTTTTTTTTTTTTTTTTTTTTTTCACAAATTATCCCATGACGACAGGATTTCTTCAGCCAAGGAGCATGGACATCTTTTTTTTTTTTTTTTTTTGCTCGGGGACCAAACAAAAGAATCAGAGGACTTTGTGGTCCACCTGCCTGCCGAATGATGAGGGTGGGAGGGGAGAGCACCCCCCCTCCGAACCCCTCCTAAAGAGCACCAATCACAGCATTGTTGTGGCACAGTCGGCCCTTTTGAGCTGTCAGTGCGAGAGGAGGGGGCACACAGATGAATGGCACACAGGATGAAGCCACCATTTAGCCAACCATGTGGGAACGCTCTACCAGGACTCAATAATTACTCTGAGGCTGCTCAACTCGGACAAAACTTTACAGACTGAGGTGGAAGAGGGGAAGACAGATTGGTGGCGGAGGAAAGCGCTGACTTGTGAATTACCCCCGTAGTGCACGTGAAGGGGAGATCGGTTTTTCATCATCATCAGAACAGCCACTGATCAGCCACAGGATTCGCTGATCTTGGGTGTTTAGCTTGGAAAGACCGAAAGCTAAACATCCGCCGTGTCCGCTCCGACAGCCCCTCCTACTTATTCCCCACTTTTCACAACTTATCGTAGCACACTGTTGCCGGGCGCGCCACGGGGTTTCCGCTGCGCTGAGATCAGGGGCCACTACTCCACTGCTTGACGGGGGGAAATATTTCGCCGGGGCCTTCCTAAGAGGAACCAGTCGCTGGGGTTCCACAGCTGCTCACAATTACCTTTTGTTTGGATGGAGGCAGCGGGGCAAGGGCTACGGGGGTTAAAGTTGAGGCGAGTGTAGAGTTACACCTGATAAGAGGTTATGAGTTCTGGGGGCGACTTGGGGAATGTGCTGTAATTATAACCACACAAAGAATGTGTAAGCTATCTTATGATTCCAAGAGCGCGATTGGGATCTAAAAGAGACCTTTCTCTGCAGATAAGCATCATCCCTCCCCCCTCGTCAAGTGAATTATATGACTACTGTATTTTAGGGGAGTGCTTAAAGCTGTAGCGTATCCTCTGACGTGGCTGAGTCATTGTAAGCGAGGTTCTCAAGACGAACCTTGTTCAGAGCTTTAATTACCTGCACATTACGAAGAAAAAAAAAAATCCACAATCATGAAACCAAATTGCATCCATGCTTTTTCCACGACAAACTTTTTTTTTTTTTTTCTCTTGCTACCCCTTTAATTAATAAAACAGTGCTGGCCATCTGGGATTGAGTAAGAGTGAGAGTGTTCCCAAGATGCTTCAGGATGCATTACCTTACCCACTTCCTGTGATAACTCCCATATGGGGACCGAGTCACAGCAGCTTATTTACCCTTTCCTGGATTGTTTGTCTGCTGTTCACACTTAGGATGATCATATTTGACATCAGCAGAGTCAAGGAGGGAGGGAGGGAGGGAGGGAGGGGGAGGTGACAGAAAACTCTCTATCGGGCCACCAGCTCCAGCTACAAGCCCCCCAAACCCTCCATACCCAAAAAACCTCCCAAATCCTCTCACTGCTAATGAGCACAGCTGCAGCTTAGGCCGTGGTGATCTCAACTCTGGTTTTGTTATGACTTAAGCTTGATGCTCCAAGGCTTCCAAAAAAAAATAATAAAAAATAACAGAATCTGCCTTCTAATATTCCTCATTCCAGCATCTGAATTGAGAATGAAAGGCTGAATGACGACAGGCCTAATGAACTGTAATCTCCGCACCACTTTTAATAGCATGTGTTGAAGACATTGCTATGTAAACATGCCAAAGTTGTGCTACCAGCGAGCGTCGCATGCGACTCGCTGTGAACCATGAGAATAAGGGGAGCGTAAACAGTCGTAATCGAGGATCTGAGCGTGTCTGCAGCTTTGAAATCATGCTTTTTTCCGAGTTGGTCAGTTTCATCTTAAAGTAATGAGAGCATGGGTACAAAAAAAAAAATTAAAATAAAACATTCCCTGGTCCCCAGTAGATCAGAGGCCCAGATGCTCAAATATGTTAAGAGATATAGGGGCGTATTGTAGCCGCACCTCCGTCTCCAGCTCACAAGGGTCTGGAAAACATCAGGAAATGCTTGACAAAGAGATTTGTGATAAAATTTTGATAAAATTTAGAATAAAAATGGATGAAACTTGTGATTCAGTGGCTTTATTTATCCACAAGTTGTGGATAAATTTTGATTAACAAATGCGACCGACCTGAACCTGCAGAGAAAGTGGAACTTCTCCATCAGCAGGTAGATTGACAACATCCAACTGGGCGTTTCCCCAAAAGACCAAAATCATATCTGACGTGTACCGTTTGAGGTGGTGCTGGAGGCCACCGCCTTCTCGCTGATGTCATTGCGCGCTGACGAGCCCTTGGTCGCCACGATGGTCTCCACTCGCTTCTTCTTCTCAGCTGCTGAACTGGCCTGGGATTGGTTTTCCATGGCGATCGCTCATTCCTCAGCACCTCATGGAGACGAGATAACTGGTGGAGGAGAAGAAGAAGAAGAAGAAGAAGGAGAGGACGAAGTTAGGTAACATATCACAAGATGAATCTGACTGCTGTGTTAATCTTTTTCTCTGCACTTGTAAAACCAAAAATAAATCCTCACTGTGATTTGTGCATTAAGTTTATTTTATTTCATTCTTGATCTGCCATACGTTAAACATTTTATCAATAGACCGCCTGAAGAAAAAGACTTCAACACTGGGAATCTTGTGAGGGAAAACTTCAGATCCAATCCCTCCCTTTTCATGATGCCCAGAGCAGACCACGGGTCAATCCACCAGCTCACCCTGATTTATTTTAACTCAAACCTGCTGGGCTCTGATCTGCTTGTCGGGAGGCTGATCTCCTTCTCCACTAACTGTTGTTACATATCCAAAACCAAAATATACTTTACCTTATTCTCAACTATGTCACACTAAACTTCTGACTTCTTGTCAAAATAAAAAATAAAACGAAACAACTCTATGAACATAGTAAGGCAGGACATCCTGACTAGGTTTTCTATCTCAGAATAGAAGTAAAGGCAGCTTGTGGATACGCTGATAATCCTGCTCGAGCAGCCTTTCCAGAGAGAAAGGAGAAACCTTAAGGGGATACCACAGAGAGAGAAACATTCACAGTCCTGAAAAAACAAGGGTTGTTTGAAGGCCCTTTTGGGAATATCATGGTGCCGGGCAATTTTTCTTTCAAAGAATAAAGGTGGTTCAAGTTAATACTGTCTGTGGGTTTAGAAGGGGTTCAGCCAACAGTCTAGCAGACATGCTGCTCGGTTCAGCACCTCAGAGGCCGTCTACAAACTCCACTCTATCTAGGTCATGGAGGTCTCTGATTATGGAGACAACATGGTGATACACCGCAACCGCTCATTTCCACAAAGTACAGGACAGCTTCATTTGGTCCAATACAAAGCCTTTACTTAAGACTCCATAATTCATGGCTGAACACTGGAAATATTTAGTCTGGCTAACATTTTCTTTCCAATAAAGACCGGCTAATTCCCTACCTGTACTATTTAATTGTCCTCCACCCTATAAACACGCATGGATACAAAGGCCAGCAGTAAAGTCAAGCTATAATGCAAACAGAGGCGTGCTGCTGAAACTACAAGAGAAGGGTGGTGGTGGTGGTGGTGGTAGGTGAGGGGAGGGGGGGGGCGATTTTTACCAACTCCCCAAGGAAGGAAGGCGAGGGGGAAGTGGTGAGGGGTAAACTTCAGACAAACACTGTGCGCTTTGTTTGTTTTTTTTTTCCCAACCCCCTGAAAAACCAGAGTCTGTCATCCATTCTGACCCGACAACAACATCTGTAAGCAATTGCTGGCTTACAAAAAAAAAGAAGAAAAAGGAAAAAAAAAAAACACAATGCAATTACTTCCCTACCAATCAAAACAGAATTAAACAAGAGCTTGTCCTCTAATCACTCCCACATGCATACATGTGTAGCCATCATCAACCACCAAAGACATTTCTGTCCTACTTGCACAGATATCATCTCGAATCACTGTTGCATGCATTTGATAAGAGGGGGATGCTTTCATTTCTGGGGGTCTTTGGAGCATGAGCCAGCTAATTGTTGGAATATGCGCGGCGCATGTACGTCTGCGTCTGCGTGCATGACAGTTTCTCTGCTGATATCTCATCGCAGGTGCCGTTGGTTTACTTTCATTTCGAGGAAGTGAAATGATCAGAGAAAATTTTTCAGTCTCCCTCTTTTGAAACTGCCATTACATCATATCTAATGACTGAACCTGAGCAGGAGCAGTGTAAGGGGAGAGAGGAGTGTTACTGAGGAGCCCTTGCAGGCTTTGTGTGTGTTTAGTGTGCAAACATGTGTGAGTGTGTCTTCTNGTGGGGTGTTTTTTTTTTTCCCCCCCCCCCCCCCCCCCAGGTGAGTCAGACCACAGCGAAAACAGATGAAAGCGCAGCGAATATGAGGGGTCGGGGCTAAGGGGGTGGGTTTTGTAGGGGAGTCGAGGAGGGAGCGGGGCATTCCACTGGTCGGGCAAATATTCGCAAGTCCAGGCCACTGAAGCGTGTCTGACCGGCCTTTTGTGTTCCACAAGGCAGGCCACAGTTCCAAAGCAGCAATTAAAAGCAGGACCTTTTCACCCATAATCCCTCTGACCTGGACGCCCACACCCAGTCCTGCAGATGTTCCCGTCTTTGCTTTCGCCTTTCGTGTTGCTCATTTTCACCCCTCTGCCCCCCCCCACCACCGCTGCGCCTCTCCCACCCCCAGCCACGCCCCAAAAAAAAAAAAAAAAACACTCAGCAGAAATTCACAAACACAAAAGACACTTCCATCTGTGTTTACATCAAGACATGGCGACGTTGTCATGTGGAAAGAATTCCTGATGTGACAAAGTTTTTTTCTGTGTTTGCAATACGATGTTAATCTGAGGACAAGAGATCCTGGTTCCCCTCAGAGTTAGTTTGGGTGTCACTTTCATGTAGCAGACAAACGTTCAAGCTCTCATCTACTTAGGGGCCAGATGCAGAAATCAGATTTTTTGTGTACATTTACATTCGACAGCACAGTAGTAAACATCTGTACGGGAACTTGTGCTCAGACCCTGCACCCGTGGTGTGTCGCAGAGGCCTGGCACAAAAGACGGAATTACTGGGCACCGGTTGCTGTTGTCACCCAAAATAAATGTTAATTTCATATTAACGTCTTTCCCATGAAATGTCTGTCCTACACCCAATTAGAGAAGAGAGAAAGAGGGTGTATCTTTATTTGTGCTCGACTGTAATCCTTCCACACAGAAAGGGAGGCGATTAAACAGGTTTAAAATACCACAATTCAGACTGTTCCCTCAGAAAAAAAAAAAAAAAAAAAACATTCTTATTTTATAAGCACATTAAGCAAATCAATTTAACATAAATTATACGCCTTGGTGACAAAGGCACTGAGTTGAAAGTCATCTGCAAATTGTACACATCAAAGTGTAACACTAAAATAAACTTTTGCCTTTGATAGAAAAAATATTCTGTTCTTTTTTTTCCCCCTTCATGCAAGCTTAAACTACTGCTAACAGTATCAAGAATCACTGCCTTTTGATATTTTCAGGCGATGTCTTTACAAGCTTACTTTAATGAAACTGCTTAAGGTGCACCTCCAGCTCCACCGCTTTCAGTCACAGCGAACACATTTGCAAATGCATGGCACACACTCTCACTTACACAAATACGCACACACAAACACACACACGCTCAGAAACTGGGGGACATTTCTATATAAACTCTTGAAGTGTCTTCTTAGATTTGGCAAACCCCCCCTCACAGACGGGGTACTGTATTTGTGTTCATTTCATTAGGGCGACTGTTCAGTGTCGAGGGCCCCCTGAGGGGGGAGACTGGCAATGCCGCAGCATTCATCATCATTACATCAGCGACCACCGAGATCTGCTATCTTAGGCTTATCAACACTGCACAAACGCACCGCGGCGCAGCGAGTTAGAGGGGAGGGGAGAGATGGGAGATGGAGACGATTGAGGGAGATTGTGAGCAAAAGTGGGATAAGAGGGGGAGAAAATGAATGGAGAAAGGGAGGAGCGTGAGACTGTGTGTGTGTGTCTCTGTGTGTGTGCTCATGTGTGCGTGCATGCATGTGTGTGCACCTCACTGTGCCCCTGCATGCCTGCACATGTTTTCCTGTGTGTACAATGTGTGTTTTCCCACATTTCGCAGCTATGCCAACAACATTAAGGGCTCCTGCACAGCTGGAATAACTAAAACACTGAGGGGCGATGAGGGAGGAGGAGTCTGAGCCCTTCAGCAAGATTAGCTGAATCTAGCAGTAAACCGAATGCGCTGGCTCGGGCTGCATGTGTTTGCATTGGATAAGGTCAATGAGGGGATGAGGCCCCTTAAGGAGACAGTGGAAGCGCTCGCCGGTGGTTCGAGGACCTGTCATTGGTTCAGAAATCCCTACTGAGGAGCTGTTCCCAAACTCAATGGCTCTCTGAGGAAACCACATACTTAGGTTTCCATGCTGTGTTCAACACTGCACTTATGGATCGCCCTTGGCCCTGGAAGGTACAAAAGGGGAAAGGGGTGGGGGGGCAGTTTGGTGGCTGTGGCTTTCCTTTCACCAGTGAAACTTAACATTGTGCCCAGATGGCTAAGTCTGGCCTACAGCTGATGGGGACCAGCCCCACAAGTAAGGGCCATTTAGCAGGAATTAGTCACACCCTGCCACACACACACACACACACACACACACATATCAAATCCCAGATATGCACATGCAAACTGGTTTAGCAGTAGGCCTTCTCACCCTTTTGTGTACTGTGCCATGGTTAAGCTATGCAGATTATTAGTCATTTACATTTTCATATGATCCAACCAATGTGTGAGTCCCACTTTTTACAGCCACGCTGTAAAACCTACAGCTGATTTTACAGTTACGTTCATTAAGACTATTTATTGCTTCATGTTGTGAGACAGTAAATCATCACATTAACGCTGCATGGAGAAATGTAAATCAAAAAAAGACAACTGCCTTTAACTCCTCTTGACTTTGGAGTAACAGCATCATAATATTATTCCATCACCAAAAAATCTGGGCTGCTATCACGACTTCACCGCACAAAAATGTGAAAATGGAAAGCCTGTTCAAAAGAGGAGTGTTTATATATTTTTTTTTTTTTTTTTTTTTTTTTTTTTTTGTTCAAGGACAAACAGTGCAAAAACACAGCCCATCAGTAGCTTTCAGCGGAGCTAATAAGATTATCCTCGCGTGCGTCTTGGTCCCTCAGACCTCTCCACTTAAGATGCTTTGGATGGCTGGTGAGGGACCCTGTGTACTGCACAGCAGAATGAGCTGAGTGCATCTTACATTCCTGGGTAACAAACCCACACGATGTAATCGTAATGCTTACACGACGCCTCTTTTGCGCTCGCTACCCAGTAGATAAGGGCCGAATAAAGCACGCGCCACAATGGAAATCTTTGCGCCTTTTCCCAGCAGCCCCC